ATTTTAAATTTCATCCGGAGTGAAATATGACTTTTGGTTACAACAAACCAACCTACCTACAACCAACAACCTACTGTGTAGGGTGTTGAGACTGGCCTGAACGAATTGTTCTTTTAGATGATTTGACAAATGGATAACTCTTTCATCACGATAGCGCTATCGACACAAACAGAATTATTTTCGCTGCGACTAATTTTTCGAATTATTTCCACAAAGGGCAGTATTTCTGGTGGATGATCAGCCATTCGCCAGAGGTTAATCTCTCTTATTAGTGTGAGTATTAGTTATAGTGAGCAAGAACCCTCCAGACCTCTGGTAAGTGCGTCCAGATATATCACTTCACGAGACTGTTCAAAATATTATCGCCTGCCCTTGGGAAATCTAAGGGTGTTAGTCGTTCCGATAGCGGTATGAAGGAACTGCTAGACAGTCTGATGGCCAGTGACAGGAATGAAGTGATTGGCCTCATAGGCCTTTTGCTTGACCGTCTGGGTCTGAGCCCATCAGAGCTATTGAAAGTCACTACTGGGTCGGCGATTAGGGAGCCTCCTGGCAACCCACCAGGGGTCGGGGAGCATCTTGATCGTACTCCGAGGAGAGTCTCCTCCAAAGATACCCCCGTCGGTTTCACCATTTCTGCGCAGCCTGAGACGATCAATGCCATGACAAAGCCGAATGAACCGGCAAAAAAGGAGCGTAGACTTCCGGAAGACTTTCCTCCGGTTCCTCCTTCTTCGAAGTCAGCCTCTCAAACAACGAGAAACTCCGGCGCAAAGCCAAAAAAGACAAACAAAAAAGCACCTAAATTATGTGATGAAGCACTAAATTTCTCGGAATCCGAGATATCAACAACTGAATCCTCTGTGAAGGGTTATGTAATGACTGATGTCAATATGAGCAATGGCTCTGAAACGGGTGAAAAGTCTACTTCCACTGTACAGGGTAGCCCAAAAAACCAGACTACCCAAAACGACGAAACAAATCAGGTTAGAAATCCCACTTAACAGGAAGCTAGCTCCCCTCTTCCTCCGCGCCCTGAGATGCCCCAAAACATCAAGAAAACTCGCGTCACCCCAATTGTCGTTCGCCAGAAGGACAAGTGGGTTCATTTCACGAAGTTGGCTACCTTTCACAAAGTCAGCTATACGAAAGCAGTAAACCTGGCTGACGGCATTAAAGTTCAGCCTTCTTCGATCGAGGACTACATGAGTATGTCCAAATTATTGGTAAGGGAGAAAATCCCTCATCACACGTATACCCTTCCTGAGGACAGGCAAATTAGAGCCGTCTTCAGAGGGGTCCCGGAGCACCTGGAGATCGCTGACATCGAGGGTGCCATGGTGGAAAAAGGTTTTCAGCCATCATCTGTCTCCAGGATGATGCGTGGAAATCGTCCGCTCCCTCTGGTTTTGGTTCAAGTGAGCCAAAATCAGAAGCATATCTACGACGAACAGGACCTCCTTAATGTCAAAATTAAAGTTGAGCCCCAACACCAGAAGACACTGGTAGGACAGTGTCACCGATGTCCGCGGTTCGGACATAGCCAAAATAACTGCTTAGCTATTCCCATCTGCGTCAACTGCGCCGGCAGACACCTTTCAGGAGAGTGCAAGAAGCCAAAAGCAGATCCTCCAAAATGCAATAACTACAAGGGGGTGCATACTACGAACTACCGCGGTTGTCCTGAGTTCCCCAAGATTTGCAGGAGGACCAAGGTAACTGCAAATGCCCCCTGAAATGCACCCACACCTGGGAGGCGTCCTGCTGGAGCATCTGGTACACGCCCGGGTATGAGCTACGCAGGAGCGGCCAAAAGTGGTAACACCTCCGCCAGGCCGTCCGCGGCTCCCTCTAGTCCTCACCCGTCGAAGGTTAATGACATCTGCTCCGCCCTGGACCAGATGAAGGAACTCTTCATTCAGTTTTCCGTACTTGCTAACTGGACGTGCAAACTGGAGCTTGTTAATGGCAACCTACATTGCCCAGTGCTCTTAAGGTTGTATTTTGGAATGCCAATAGTATTTCAAACAAAAAACATGATTTTGACTACTTCCTGACAGAACATAACATCGATGTTGCACTTGTACAGGAAACCCACCTGCACAATGAACCTTTTGATATTCCAAACTACCGTTTCTACCATAGAGAACGTGTTGGACGTGTTGGAGGAGGAGTTGGCATTTTTGTCAAACGTAATCTTCCTCACGTACAATTCGGCATTGACTCGGACCGGTTACACGGCACGAAAGCCGTGGGCGTTGAACTCCAGAATCACTAGATGAACTGCTTATGTCGACAGATACCCCCACAATTGCTGCTGGTGACTTCAACGCCAAGCACAATATGTGGAGCAGAATCACCTATGCGAACGGCCGAGCGCTCCATGCGCTTGCTGACAGGCATGAGTATCGAGTGATGGGTCCAGATGAGCCTACGTTCTATCGTGGGGATAACAGACCTGACGTGCTTGATATCGCACTACTTAGGAACGTCTCCTTGTTCTGCGAAGTGTACACTTTGTCGGAACTTGACTCAGATCATAATCCAGTCATCCTGATGCTGGGTGATAATCCCCTTCCCCAGGATTATCGCATGAGATTATCCACGGATTGGGAAGCCTTCAAGGCTCATCTAGTGGAAATACGTACGGACGGTGAGGCGCTTCGAACTCGCAACGGTCTCGACGCGGATTTCGAATTGTCTGTGAACAACGCTTTCCGCGCAGCCACAACCAGGACAGAGAGTCCTCTGCGAAGATACAATGAGTTTCCTCCCAGGATAAAAAACCTTATACGGGAGAGAAATCGACTGAGACGAGTTTATCAGCGGAGTCTCTATCCTGGAGACAAGGCTGCGGCTAGCAGGATGGCCAACCAAGTTAAACAGGCCATCACTGACTACAGAAACGAGAGGTGGAGCGAGTGTTTGTAATCTCTCGAACCTGGGGATGATGAGCTATGGCGAGTCACCCACAGGCTCGAGAAGAGGAAAACCGCTCTCTCCCTTCTTCACGGACAGCGCGGCATTTGCTACTCCCCCGCCGAGAAGGCGTTGGCCTTTGCAGACACAATGGAGAGTCAGTTCCAACTTAACGTTGATCCGGATGATGATATTGACCGTGATATCCAGCGGGTTCCGCGCATTCTTAGGGAAAATGATGACGACGTGATCCGTCCAGCTTCAGAGGAAGAACTGAGGGGGTATATTAGGGCATCCAAACCCAAGAAGGCTCTGGGAATTGATTCAATCAACAATAGGTTGTTGAAGCAGCTCCTGGAGAACTACATCAGATACCTACTGGACATAATCAACAGTTCAATCGCTCTCAGATACTTCCCCCGAAGATGGAAGCATACCGTAGTCGTCATGATTCCGAAACAGGGCCAGAACCCGCTGTTTCTCCAGAATCATTGTCCGATTAGTCTGCTTTGCTCAACGGCTAAGTTGGCTAAACGTGTTGTGCTGCAAAGGTTGACCGAAGAAGTTGAAGACCGAAATGTTCTGCCTGATGAACAATTCGGTTTCAGAAGGGCACACTCCACCGAGTTGCAGGCCCTGAGACTGGTCGAAAATTCTATCTCAGAGCTAAACAATAGGAAGACAGTCCATCCCGTCCTCCTGGACATTTCGAAAGTCTATGACAGAGTATGGCAGGAAGGTCTACTACACAAAATGCTCGATTTCGACCTGCCTCAGGGCCTGATCTGGTGGATTAGGTCCTTTCTGAAAGGCAGAACATTTCAGGTCCGAGTTGAAGGAACCCTGTCTCCCGTCAGGGAAATCGAAGCTGGGAGCTGTGCTGTCTCCACTACTATACAGCCTTCACGTGAGCGATCTTCCGAGGTTCAATCACGTGAAGGTTTCTCTTTACGCTGATGATACGGCTCTCCTCGCTTCCATGGGTCGAGGGTTGGCGGTCGTCTACATGCAACGCGCATTGGACGACCTCGAACGCTGGTACCTGGAATGGAAGATTCGGGTGAGTCCAGAAAAACTCAGGCGATAGATTTGGGGAGACGTAAAGTTTCTCCAGACACAAGAGTCACGATTTCAGGCAAGGAGATCGAATGGCAAACGCGAGTCAAATACCTAGGTCTTTGGGTAGATCGCCAACTCACCTGGGTAAATCACATCGATTATATCAAGAGCAAAGTACAAATGAGAATAGGCAAACTCTATCCTCTGATCAACAGAAATTCCAAGCTGAATCTTAAAAATAAGATTTTATTATACAATACGATGTTCAAGCCTGTCATTATGTATGCTTCAGGCGCTTGGGGACAAACCGCTCCGTCAAACCTCTCCATTCTGGAAAGGTTGCAAAACAAACTAATCAGGATGCTGGTGAATGCTCCATGGTTCGTGCGGAATGAAGCCATCCGCAGAGATTTGAAGCTGTTAACTGTACTGCAGTCCATTCAGTCGAGGAATCAGAGTTTTCGAGTCAGCGGAAACTCACGATAATCCATTAGTTGTTGAAGCTGTAGATTACACTATAGACGACCCCACTCTATTCAGAAGGCCCCGTCGCTCGGATGAGTGAAGGCCCACGACGTCTGTTAAAATGAACAGTTTGTTCATCAAATACCCCAGTCAGGAAGGGGTACACAAGGCCAGAGCGACATAGAGGTCATTGACCTTTATGTCGTTACCAAAAAACACCTTCAGTTATGAACCACTCGTCTCCCTGATGAAAGACAGTTGAAAGGGTAAGGGAAAAATTTCCAACCTGAAGAAAATGAAGATGACCAAAGAAGTGCTATCGATCCGTTAGGCAACGGACAGGTAACGTTGTCGTGGTGAAACACGTGAAACATGCAGAAAGGGATCGACATCATGATTTTTTTATTTGTTTTAACATTTTTGTCAGCAACCACAGTAAAACCCTCTATTTCTAGGTAGAGTTTTTGAAAATGTTAAGAAGTCGAAAGAATATTGCTTGATTTGACAATACTTTGACATTATTGATTTCACCGTTATATCATCTAGTTTGCAACACTGTGATTTGAGATTAAAAAAAATGGCAATGGCAATATTGAAAGATGACAGAAAATTATTTCAGTTCCTTAAGTGAGAGGCTGGTATACCTACCCAAAAATAATGATAATGATAACCAAATCTAATTATTTTTTTGGAATAATGTTTAGAATTACGTCAAAATGAAATTGGTGTATCAGAGTATTGATAGGGATGGCGAGGGGTAAGTGGTCCTTGGTGTCTTTTGAGGTTATGTTGCAAATGAAACTCCTGCAGAAAATTTGAAACTATTATAAACGTTGCAGCTCTGTAGCTCTTATCCCCGAAGAACCTGAAGATATGTGGCATGCGTACAACCTCATATCTGTAGGAGATTCAGTACGGGGTACAACAATTCGAAAAGTCCAGACTGAATCGTCCACAGGCTCATCTTCATCCAACAGAGTGAGAACTACATTAACAATTTCTGTAGAGAATATCGATTTTGATACTCAAGCATGTATGCTGAGACTGAAGGGAAGGAACATAGAAGAAAATCAGTATGTCAAGGTAATTTGTAATGTATTTTTTCAAAATAAAAAAATGTTGGTATTATCTTTTTCCCAAGGTATGATTTAAAATACATGTCCAATATGTATAGCTCTCTAAGTAAGATTTGTGAAAGCTAAAAATAAGACCTCTAACATAGAATAAATAAAACCAAGATACTTCTCCCACCGAGTCTCCCACACTTGAATGGTAATGCTTTCCTTGACATCAATATCATCAGGAGTTCATTTAAATGGCTTAGTCATGTAATATTTCAACAAGAGTTTTTTCATTACAAATGATTCAAAATGTCAGGAGACAAAACCAAAATAGATGTATTTTATCCTAATTGGAATTATGAGTACAAAACTATTGTTTTAAGTGAAACTGATTGAAATCAGATGTTTTTTGATAATGTCCTGAAATGTTTCTAGATGATTATGAAATCTATCATAGTGATTGAAAATTTGACTAGTTGGAATCAACTTGTGGTGGTGTATTACTTGCTATCCATACCAGCATTAATTCTGAGATTCTTGATACCACTCAGTTTGAAGAAAACTTTCCTTAAAAAGATTTCCTAGTTCATAAGAGCTCTGTATCAATTTGCACCTCTTTATAGCTATCGTTTGTTTGATGAGTTCAGATAAAATTAATTTTTTTGGAAGACTTTACTGTGCAACTCACACAATCACAAATTTGTTGGTTTATTTGAATATGAATCAATGTAATCATATGAGTAATGAGTAATATTGAATATAATGTACTGTGGTAACTCGGCACTAGTTAACAAAGATATCTATCATCCATCTATATCTATTGATCAGTGACGGCTCGTGCATTGGAGAACAGGGGAGGCTAAAGTCATAAAGACTATATATACACAGAAAAGCCCGCCGGAGGCGCGAAAATTTTTTGGGTTACCGCACCTATTTAAAGCAAAATACATAATATTTGCATAAATGCAAACAAAAATTGTGTATTGCTGAAAATTATATGTATAAAACTGACCATTAAAAAATATTTATTATCATAAGATAAAGACTTGAAATTATTTGTCAGCAACCAATCGACTATATCGTCAGATTTTTTAATTTCGTCCAACTTATCCATAATAAATGGAAAAAAAACTTACCGAAAAGTGAAAACCTGAAAACACCTTGAAATTGAAAAAAAACATTTTAAAAACACGTTGAAAATATTACCAAAAAGCACTGCTATAATACAATACTGCCTGTTTTATACACAAATAAATATAATCAAGAAACATTAAAAAACGATTTACCGAAATATTTTTCAGTCCCGGTGCGTCACGGCATCCCGTCCGAATAATTAAATAAAAAACAAACGCAGCCGTACACCAACGGAGACCAACTGGAGGCTAGCCTCCTCTATCGCTATAATTTCTGCAACTAAAAGTACAAATCGGGACGTATGTCGCTGGTTGGATCGGCCTCGCGAAGCTTGTGTTTTTTAAAACGGTCGGAGGCTTAGCTCCCTTGCAACGTATGGCATTTATTATTTCGGGTTGATGGTTTATTCGTTATTTGTTCATGGGCGGTGCGTTTGAGGTTTGTTGATGCCTCACTATGACTATCAACAACTACCGATGTTATCACTGGCGTTACAAGAAAAAGCCAAATATTGGTTTCAGGCTAATAAGCTACAACTTGATAATAGTAAAACCCAGAATATCACATTTTCTACAAATAATTCTCTCATGGAGGACAATAACGTTAAATTATTGGGAATAACTATTGATAACAGACTTGGCTGGAATTGTCATATTGAACAACTTAGACATAAACTTTCTAGTACGCTAGTACGCTTCGGCAATTGAAGAGATATGTTAATCATGATACACTGAAAAGTACCTACATTGCACTTTTTCATACTCACATGAGTTACGGTATCATAATGTGGGGTAACTCCTCAAAGTCACTGCAAATCTTTCGACAACAAAAAAAGGCCCTGAGAATAATTTTGATTTGTAATAGCAGAGAACATTGTCGTCCTTTATTTGTTCGCCTCAAAATTGTATCGCTACCTTCCTTATACATATATGAGACTCTTACAGAAATACATAGACACACAAGAAATTTGGTAACACAATCTCAAGTACATTCCTATGATACAAGATGATCAGATTATATCAGAACTCCCAGGTACAGGCTTATAGTCTCCCAAAAAAAATTCACCAGACTCTCATGTGTATAATATATTACCATCTGATATCAAGTCACTCAATATAATTTCCTTTCAAAAAAAGATAAAAAGATTTCTTAGTCTCCCAAAAAAATTCACCAGACTATCATGTGTATAATATATTACCATCTGATATCAAGTCACTCAATATAATTTCCTTTCATAAAAAGATAAAAAGATTTCTTTTGCAGCACTGCTTCTATTCAGTGGTTGAGTTTAAAGAATATATGCAACATCTTGAAGTTCCTCTTTGAACACTCCTTTCAGATCCCATTCGCTCGACTCTGTTTTCTCAGAAGTGCTCTGATAAATATCACTATTTAATTTTTTATATCAGAATAATCATAAATATACTCAACGTGGCAATCTTTATTTGTCGCTACTATGTCCTTCTAAGTATTTTTAATATATCTTTATGTATTTGTAACCTAACTGACTTGCTATAAATGTACTTTTGTATATAACATAGTTAAAAAAATATTCTATTCATAAAAGGACGACGTTTTGTCACGATTGAAGAGATAAAAACCGAATCACCAAAAAGTGCATATCAGAACTGCTTCGAGGATTGGAAAAAACACTGGCATATAAGTGTATTATATCTGAGGGGAAGTATTTCGAAGGGGACAAAATAGAAATTGATGAATAAATATTTTTTGAGAAAAATGAAAATTAACTTTATTTTTCTAGCAGACGTCTTACAGCTTAATAACAAAATGTCAAAACTGATGTATATTCAGAATTGTAGCATTTTTTTTCTATGTTATTTCCAGATGGGAGCCTATCATACACTGGATTTAGAACAGAACAGAAAATTTTCTCTGAGAAAACGTCTGTGGGATTCAGTCTGTCTAGAGCGTATCGAAATGGCATGTGACCCTACAAAAACTGCTGATGTTGCTGCTGTTATAATGCAAGAAGGTCTAGCTCAAATTTGCTTAATAACGTCTAGCATGACCTTGATGAGAGCTAAAATTGATATGAACATACCAAGAAAAAGAAAGGGTTTTGTTCAACAACATGAAAAGGTAAATATCATTTAAGAAAAAGTTAACCTCTGGATATTTTTTCAACTTCAAAATAATATATTAGGAACTTTGCCACGTTAAGATGAATATCATGTTTCTGTTTTGTTATTTGCAGGGTTTAGCAAAATTTTATGACAATGTTATGCAATCAATTTTAAGACATGTTAATTTTGATGTTGTAAAATGTGTATTGATTGCTTCGCCAGGTTTTGTAAGAGATCAGTTTTGTGAGTATCTTTTCCAAACTGCAGTCAAAACTGATAATAAACTTCTCCTGGAAAATAAACATAAATTCATGTTGGTTCATACATCTTCGGGCTTCAAGCACTCGCTGAATGGTAAGAAATTCTACATTTTTAGATGAATTTTATTTGTCAGCACAAAACTTTTTTTAGAATTATTGCAAACCCCTAAACACTGCCATTGATTTTCAAATTAATTGCTGTATCCATGCAATATTTTTTTAATACTAGTGTCTTGATATACCTTTTTTTATCAAAGTATAAATCATAATTCTTTCTCTCAACCTGTGACCACCTTTTCATTGTGGGCCTAGAAATAATACATTTTCATTTTTTAAATTGACGTCAAACATATTACAGTACTCAATTTTTTCGTCAAATAATGTTATGTATTCAGTGTAGAGACAACAATATGTCGGTATAGAAGTCTGTCTCTGAGTGAAGCAATATTGCAAACAGCTGTCCCTTGTATGGGCTTTTTTGGAATAGTCTCAGCCAAAGATGATAAGGCCTTTATCATTCTTGCAGCTCACAGGAAAACAACAGGAAGTTAACATATGAATTTTTTAAGAAAGAAAGATTTTGGTGTTCTACTTTTCTATCTTTATACAAAAAAAAAACGGATGAAAGCAGTTGGTTTCAAAATAAATTTTTTACAGAGATGTGTAGGTCATGCAATGAAGTAACTTTCAGACACATACTGGAAGAAAAAGCCTTTTCAAAACAACTACTTTCATATAAGCATCAAATTACACAAAACAAAAAATACTTTTATATGAACACTGAGTTATACAAAAATTACTTTTCTTCATTCAGGCTGTACTCCAAACATTCGTTATGGAATTGATTCAGATATTTACAGGATTGCTACACCTATATCATATATAAAAGAGTTAGTATTTCACTTACATGGCACTATCATCCTCAATGGCGGACATCAATGCTTCGGAATAAAACACTTGTCTTGCCTCTTCAGCACTAACCTGGATAACATTACAAGATAAAGCACTTGATAAATTCATAAAATTACGACTTTGTCACGAATGACTTGAATCGATTCATGTCATCGATGACAGTACGTAATGACATTTATTTGATTATTTAAAATCCCAGCCATAGGAATCTTGTTTGAATCGAAAGGGGTATATTTTTACGAAAGATTAATTTTTGGAAAAGAAAGTTTTTGGCATTCTATTTCTCCATCTTTATATAAAAAATATAGGAATCTTCAAAATAAAGGGATGATTTGTTTGTTTCTCAGTCCTTCGAAATGAAAAATATGTTTCCTCATTTTGCAGGACAACATATTTTCATATGCTCTTTAATAAAAATCACTCATTCACTTATAATCACATTCACTTTTCAGAGGTTCTTCAAGATCCAGCAGTTATAAACAAAATATCAGATACTAAAGCAAGTAGCGAAGTGAAGGCATTAGAAAATTTCTATACAATTCTACAGCTGGAACCAGATAAAGCATTCTATGGTAAGAAACATGTGGAAAAGGCTAATGCAGCACAAGCTATTGAATCATTATTGATATCAGATAATTTATTTCGGTGAGTAAATTCATTTTGCATTTTTATTTCAACATTGTTAGTAAGTGTGATTCAACTTTTTTATATTGAATACTAAGGGAAGGCAGGTCTTTCTTACCCTGCTCATCTCACTTCTTGGGTAATCATCACATGGATTTAATAAACATTTGTAGGATGTTTGGAATATATAAGTTCCACTTTTTACAATGCATCAGTTTTGGTTTACATCATTATATTTCACAATTTTTTTGCATTTATTATAATATACCATTCACCTGGTTGAGTAATAAAATGACATTTGTGAATCTCTGTCAGACTAAATAAATAATTTTCACGAATAGGTATATTTCTGGGCTTCAGAAATAGAATAGACAGTATTTTCGACGGAACAATCAGTTCAATGATATATTTTCACACACACACTGGTTTTGAACCTGTGAATAAATAAATAATAATAAAATTATTCAACATTTGACCTCATTCTCATTATTTTTAATTAAAAATCAGTTTTGATGTATTGGTTTATTCACATTAACTAAACTTATAATCTTGAAGGATTAATATGTCATATGATTTGTGATTTCACATTCTTTGGATAAATAATCTTTCTGCTAATAATAGTTTGTGAAATATTAGACAATAAATATCGAAGATATCCTGAAAGTAAATTAATCTCGATACCTTCCTCTAGGTAGCAATTAAAAGTTATTCCATTCGATATGGCCATTAGAAGATATATTCCAAAATCGTTGGAATTGTTAATGTAAGCATTAGAACTTATTAGCCAAAATGAATATTCCAGTCAGATAGCTAAAATCATGATAATATGAATTTTATGACAAACTCTTGGATGCTGCTTGTTATTTGATTTTATTCTATTTCAGAAGCCAAGATGTTAAACTTCGCAAGGAATATGTTGAATTGGTTGATTCAGTAAGAGATTCCGGTGGAGATGTCAAGATATTCTCTAGTTTACACATCTCGGGAGAACGTACGTATTTCAATTGATTTCGCACTATTTGACATTCAAATGAGAAAATATTCTTTGGGTAGGTTGATAAAGTAAGAAACTTTGTTTCCTATTTATAAACAGTACTTCTTTTCATGATTACACTTTCCCAACACATGTTCACACATTATATAAGTTCTATGCTGCACAAAATATTCATTTAATTGAAAATCACATCAAACATACACAATTTTCAATTATTTGTAACAGGAAGATTATTTTGCTAGTTTTGTTACTTGTGATGCGCTGTTTGGAACCTTTGGTGTAGTAATGAATATTACTGGAGTTTATTCCCAACACCAAATCGTTATTTTTAACACCTCGACACGTGTTTCTATCACCATGTGAAGATTAAACTTCCTCTTGAAGATGATCACTTGGTGATCGAAACACGTGTCTAGGTGTTAAAAATAACGATTTGGTGTTGGGAAGAAACTCCAGTAATATTCATAGTTTTGTTACATTACTGTCAGGAATGTTAAGTTGCTATTCCCGAATTGTGCCTGATTAGGAAGCAATTTCAACAATGATACAGTTGCAATCCAAAACACAATGCTGCATCTCACTTCATCATATGTATGTCTTTATTTCTACTACTAAATATAATTAGTCGATTCAGTTTTTTTTTAATGAAACAATACAAACTACACATAGGCACATTCTAAATGAGAAAAATAAAAACAGTTTTACTTTTATTTTGCAATACCACCGTATATAAGTAAACAGAAGTAAATTCACTCCTGGTCGGTCTCTTTGATGTTTCGGGTCGAGATTTTATTTTTTGCTGGCATCTAGCGGGGCAGGAGCGTGTAGGCTAAGAGTTGTTGTGCAACGGTTCGACCAAAAAATATGTGACCATGATCTGACTTCATCATTGCTACGAGGAGCTCCCAATAAATAATAATAATATTTATTTACATTGCATTAAAAGAAAAGTTACAATAAAAGAAGACATTCAATGGTAAATAAATACATACTACTCAACAAGTCAAGCCTTAGTAGTGGGAGTAAAACTTTACAAAAGTAATATCTATACATTCAATTAGCCTAATAGGGGATATAATCAAAGTAGACAAAATACCAAAAGGCGGGCCTTGACTACAGTGAAATTGTCTACGTAGATCCAGAATCTCGAAATCATATCAGGAAAATTAAAAGAAAATATGAAATTGAAATATGAATTATAAAGTGTTTAAAATATAAATTTTCTATGTGATTTTTTTTATAACAAATTGTAATATATGTTTTTTATATCAATATATTGATGGATGGAAAGGCGTGACTGGGCGCTTATCCATTCATTAATTTTTGTTTAAATAAATGATGGGAATTATATTCTTTCATTTCATGAGGGATCAAGCTATATAATTTAGGTCCCAAGTAGACATAACTTCTTTGTAGGGTGTTTTTTTTTCTGGTCTTGGTATAACAGAAGAATTGATTTTGTGACGTGTACTGTAGTTATGGTTTATGGCCATATGATTTATGTCTCATATGATTGTGAACTATTTAGGAATTGATAAAAAATAAGACAAGGTGGTGAAATAAACGTATATTTTATATAGTAAGTTTATACAATATTGGTCAAAAACTTATGCTAATCTATTCTAAAGGTTTTTCAGCATGATGAGTTTTTGATTTTTTTAAACATTTGTTTTCGAATTTCTATTGGCAAATTTCAAAGTATAATCAATTCTTACCCTTGTGAAAAGAGAAAATAAATAATCCAAAGGAAAATTATCACAAAGGTGAAAAATGTTGATTTTTGAAAACATTGTTTTGAGCTGGTTGCCTGTGCAATCAGTGGCACATAAATTGTTGAAATGACTAAGAAATTCTGTCTCTATATGAATGAATGATACATTGTAAAAATGAATCTGGAGGCATATATAAACTTCCAAACTGTTTGGCTACTGTATTACTATATGCCTTGAAATGACTATATACATTTGTTTCATTCAGTGACTTACTAGCCGCCGTGGCAAAATTTGTACATACTTCACATGAATGTTTTCTTAAACATTTTCCCAAAAGATATCCACAAACATAGCCCAAGCTGTTGCCTTCTGGAGTGGCTAGAGTTCTATACTCATTTGTCTCTACTATCAAAGGTTTATAGGGTTTTTTTTGGAATTTCCATAAGAATCTTCAGTCTATTTATGTCTGCATCTGTAATACAAATAGAATCTCACTAGTATCTTCTAGACAGTTAGTTCCTTCTGCCTGTGTGAAATACTGAAGAGTAAATGTGTTTTTGAAAGCTCTGATAATTTGAATAGGAGTTCTATTTCTGGCATTTCCACAAGTATTTCTCTGTTGACCAAAATAATTTTCCACACAGTCCTGATTTATATTCTTCGTCAATATGTAGGAGTCTCCTTCGCTGTGTAGGTGTTCTCAAAGTTGCAGAAATGTCGAAATTGTTATCTGCCATCCTTCAATGAATCTCATTTGTCCAGTCATATTTTATCCTTTTTTTGATATTACAGTTAATTTGCTGAAAAATATTTTCATTTCTTTCAGAAAAGCAATTTGTTTTGATGTTTCGAAAAAAGGTTTTTTGAAATTTTTGACATCGTCAAATCGTTTTGAATTCAAAATATCAAACACTTTATCCATTTTTTCAATTAATGTAGCCGTTCCTATTGCTGCTGATGGTATCTGATTGAAACTGGAATAGGTATTCATCGGTGTAGTTACCGAATGACTGAAAACTTGACTGGCTGATTTAACCTTCATCCTTTGAAAGTTAGTTGGAAATAAATGAGAATCAGTAAGTTTGGGTGCTATTCTATGTTGCTTTTCCTTATCCAAGTTGTAAAGTTGTTCAAGATGACTTTTGTTCCTTGTATATTCATCAAATTTCAAAAAGTCGTCAAAAAAATTGTTTCTGCTACATTTCAGCAAATGAGGAGTATTGAAAAAGTAAAATATTTTTTTCTCATCAACAAAGAAATATGGCTGCTCTACAGTCACTTCGAGATCTTTTCTGGCAAGTTTATAAATCTGAAATGATACCTCTAACTTTCAATCCAATTTTTGATAATTGCCTAACAGCTTCAATCACAATACTTTTTATATCCAGTATTGATGTGGATGAATTGGTAAAAAAGTATGCAACAGGCTGTTTCGAGTTCGAATGTATGCCTTTTGCCATGACTACCAAGGCATATTCTGCTATAGAAGCCGTTTTCTTGTTAAATAATTCCTCAAAACCAACTATTCTATCCTTTCCTATATTGTAGAATAAGTGTGACTTGATGCTCATTTCATCGAAACAAATGTTTCAATCCTTATCTTGATTACTGAAGTTATTGATCTTTAATTACTCCACTAATATATGGTCTATAACAATTCATTTTATGATTTTCATTATATGTTCATTACTTCAATCTTACATAATAAATAATAGAAAAACATACCTTTTTTCGTCAATTGGAAATCGAAAAAAATTAATGCCGACATCACCCTGCAAATTACAGCAACCCACAACTCGACACTTGCTCATTTTGAAACTAGACACAAATTTTTCACAAATACAAAACCACCACTTACAACTACTCACTTTGTAATAATATTCCATGCCTCGATTTGGCTCGCTTGGTAAACGCCTCAGATTCAGTCGGTTGCACTGTAGTTCGGCCGCGCATAAAATTCGAGACGGGGAATCTTGACCCAAATATGGCGGAGAGTGAACTTACTTGTGAGTTGCTAGTGAGTTCATGAAATAGTCTCGATTTTTTTTGTGGCTATATCTAATTCAAAAATTAGACCTTTGGGAGAAATTAAATTTTTTCAATTACCAATATTTTGCAAAAATTTTTGATCCGAGAACTGTTCAAAATGAATTCTCTGGATATACTTTTTCCTATTTACCTAACATCTTTTGTTGGTTTTCAACCAATCCTAAATTGTATATTTTTCATTTTAGAACTGGATCAGTTGACCGGAGTAGCTGCCATTTTAAGATTCCCAATGCCGGAAATTGATGATGATGAAAGTGATGAAGACTAGCAAATTATCAAAATATTTTAGATGTGAATTCCTTTCCATGAGATATTATATAATTCTTTGTTATTTTACATTTTATGTAATAAGTGTAATTTTAGAGAATGAAGCTGTTATATTTTTTAATTTATTTTGTATAAGGTTATTTAAAGATAACCTTCAATCAATATTTTTATAATTATGAAATTGAAACATAATTGAACACTTCTTGTTCCATTATTTTGGAATAATTGATACCAGAGATAAATAAATGATGAATCGAAAATTCAGAATTCAATATAACTTACAAATTATGCTGAAATAATTGATTTTGTAGTGTTTTTTATGAATCGAAATCCAAATATTGTAATTATATTTGCTACAAGAAAATCCTAATCAAATTGATTTTTTTGGTTGAATATTGGCATTTTAAGAAGTAGCATCTTCATCATATTAGTTGATAATAACATATTCAACATAAACTATCTTTTTTACAAAAATGAAAGTCTGTTTCGAGAAAAAATTTTTATTTCCATAACAACCAGTGAACTTAATCAATTATGTAATTTGGTTTGTAGTCAGAATATTTCAAAAATTTATATTTGGCTAGTTTGATGACACACTTTTCATTCATATATCAGAGATCAGTATTTAACTCCAGGGTGGATAGAACATTTCATAGTCAGTTATCTGCTTGTGCTGCAGGATTTTGATCAGATTTTTTTTTATATTTATTGAACAATTTCTTGAACCGTTTTCTTCAAGTACAAAGCTTTTAAAGTAATTCATATGTGTAATTTTTTCATCAAAAGAAGACTAATAATACTGGAATCGAATATAAAACAGATTCATTAACATACCGCAAATGTAGTAGCTTTCAAAAAATACACACAAAAAATCTAGTACAGTAAATACTAATAAAATAGGGATCAGCAACACTGGTCGCCCAAGCGGCCCGTTAAATATGTTTATACGGTCCGCCAAGCATATCTAAAATTGAGTTTATTTTATCGATTTTCTACCAACTTTCTGACAACCCCGGTAATTTATATAATCTCCAGTGTTTTCCTGCAGCTGAAAAGGAAAGGCGCCACTGGAATCAATGAAGTCGCCTCGGAATGCCAATTAATTTTTGTTGTTTCATGATTTGTATTTCTTCCAATTTAGTTAGCTTTATACTTGATAATGGGGTAAAACCTGAAACCGGTCGTAAAAATAAAATAACCAGTAAAAATTAGACAAAAGTTTTTTCATTCATTTCATTAAAGTGATCAATTCTTGTGTTTCTTGAAAGGCATGATGCAATATTGTGAAAAAAGTGATATAAGAGTTTTTTTATTCAACATTAAGTTATCCTAAAAATTTTTCAACTCAAAATTTGAATCCATAATAGCAGCATGTTGGAAAAGCACAGGCATTCCAAGAGAAGTGGAAATTTGATTATTTTTTCACTTTCGTCAAAGACAAATCTGTATGCTTAATATGCTCAGAGACTGTGTCGACATTAAAAAAATATAACATAAAAAGACATTATGATACAAAACATTACAACAAAAAAAATTCAACGGAACAACTCAGAATAAATAAATTTATTCAAATGTAGTAAAACTTAGGATAACAACAGACTATTTTTTTAAATCAAGATATTTTTATCAACATAACTTAAAGATAAAATTCAGGGCTTTGAACGCAAATAAAAATTGTGGAAACAGCATCTTTTGCAGAATAATGTGTCTCACTTTCCACATTTAGAAAAATAAAAATTTTTCCCCGCCATTTAATATCGATGTGGATACAGTTCCCGAAGACTTTCAAATGGAAGTGATTGACATGCAGAATAATACCGATTTAAAAAATGTATTTTTTTCAGTAAACATAGAAAATTTTCATAAACCTTATGTGAGCCTTGAGAAATTTCCGCCTTTGACGAAAAATGTAAAGTAAGTGATGTCTCTGTTCGGACGTACGTATGTTTGCAATCATTTATTTTCAACCATTGAATTAATCAAAGGTGACCACCAATCAAGACTGAGTGATGTACGATTAGATAGCTGGGTACTTGTAGCTACCTTATCAATTCCGGCTGATATTGAGCAGCTTGTAATGAAAAACCACTGCCAAATTTCTCACTGAAAATTTCAAGTTAATTCTTTTTTCTGTTCTTTTCTTGTTTTCTTTGCATGAACATTTGTATATATTTTTTTGTATTTTGTTATTCAAATGTTTGTTATAAATTAAATATTTCAAAATTTAAATTAAATAGTTGATTAAAAAAGTTGCTCACCCCTGTACTAAAATATTCATGTCACATTGATATGTTCTTAAGATTTTCAGATCAATAACAATATGACATATTGTCATAACAGTATGACATATAAGAACACCAGGAATTGAGGTAGTATTATTTAATTCAGATGAGGAAAATCTCGTAGTGAGTACATATTCTTGTTTGGAAAATTCTCCATCACCTCCAAGCCCCACTTGGCTAAATCTAATATATGTATCTGCTTATTTCAAATGAATTGTTTAATTTCTGAAGTGGATGCCCTAGCCTAGAACTATTCATTTGAATTTTCCATGGCAGACTAAAATAAAGGGGAATGTAGGTCAACAAAGTTTGTATTTCTGCTCACAATTAAGGAATGAAACTTGGTCAGATATACCCTGAACTAACTAACTGAAATCCGCCAAGAAAGTTTTCAATTTCCATGAAATTACAAAACTGAAAAGTGCTAATTTTTTTTAGTCTATTTCTAAAATTGACCCTTACTGTAAAGTAATATACAATGAATTAAAAAAGAGCTAATAATAACCTCTTAGAAAGGACAAGAAAAGATAATACAAATAAAATAGCTGACAGTAAATCTAAAATACTATGGCACGTCATTAAAGTGACTGGTTCACTTGTAACTAATCTAATATATAAAAATGGATGTTTGTTGGTTGGTTGGTAAGTGATAAACTTCTGCATCGCTGATCGTGATCATATCGTGATGAAACTTGACATGTATAAGTAATTTTTAGAGAAGGTTTTTAGGCTATCAATTTTTCTGTAACTCGCCACTAGGTGGTGCTGTATAGAACAATTTTTTGAAAGCACTGTTCTATAACGCTGCGCACGCCTAAGTTTGTTGATTCTGTCAAAACATTGGAACAGCAGCATAGTACTGGTATTGCATAGTACATAGTACTGGTACAAAAACACATGACTTTGAAACGGACACGACTGTTGATACAACATAATACATACTTTCGAATTTACGGTTTCGTTATTAAAAAAAAAATTGTTCCATTTTTTGAATGTTCCATTCACATTTCCTTTTTAATTCTAAGTAATTAGCGAGGAATTTAGTGAATGAGTACCAGATACGGAAATATATAACAAATTCACTTCGAAATATGGTGGGAAACGACTGAATTTTCATACATTACTTCCTCATACGTGAACCGTAGCGTACGTCAGAAAATTAAATTTGCACGTCCTTGTCAATTATAAACTGATAATTCATTGGAGGCTGTAAATCCCGTCAATAAATATTTTATAAATGCAGAAAGGTATTGCCATGGAAAGTGGTTTTGGAAGAGCAATAGATTTTCATAACCATACATTTCAACTTTTCTAATCAACAAAACTCAAAGTGGTCATAGTAAAACCACTTAACAAAAAAGGAAATAAATGTAAATTATCCAACTTCATGCCTATTAACTTATATCTAAACTTTTCGAAATAGCAATGGGTAATTGACTAATATTCTTTATGAATTTCAAATGTTTTCGAATCCCAACACAGCTATCTGAGAAATAGGTCTATTGAAACAGCTTGAACTCAATAAGAATAGTGCAACAGTCAGATCAAGGACAATGGGAACCTTGATGATAGTACCACGGGTTAGTATTCTAGGCCAATATTGTTTGTTATTTTAATTAATGACAAAGAAGTTATGAAAAGTGTTAACTCTGCTGATCTGATCAATTACATCACCGACACTAACCTTCTGCTGGCAGGCGCCAAAGAACCACGCACAAACCTTATGGAAAATGGCTTTCGGTGAATTCTGCAGATTTCTTGGTATGTTGAACTTTTCAATGTCCTGATCAAAAGTACCCACGGGCACAATGAAAGATAATGGACAGTTTTTGAGAAAAAAATTGCTCAAAGTCGGCAAAACTGATAATTTGGTAGTAAAACGGGAGAAATAGGCCATGTTATTTTGCAACTTCATGCCTCTCGGAAATTGTAGAATGTGCTTTAGCAATTCTTTCATGGGTCTTGTGTCTTTACAGCACAGTTCGCCAATAATTGCAGACCATAAAAGGTGACGGATAAAGGCATAATCCGAGGAATGAAAAAATAATTTTTATTACATTATGAAAACAATACATTGTGAGAAAGTTAGTTGATGGATATGGGTATATAGAAGATGATTCAATTGATATATCGTGTGACACATATTCATGGTACAGCCCCCTTTTCTCCTTTGTTTATTTGGCTATATTTTTTAAACAAATTCAACTTCGGGTTTTTCTGAAAATGACAACAATTTTGGATTTTCGAATGAGATACCTTGTATATTATTACATGATCAGTTAGGGATAATAATAAGGAATCCAAAGATATCTGGTTTTATGATGTTATCTCTAATGACTACGGAGGTATCGCCATTTGTTTTATCAATAAGCTCAATGAGAAAATGTTTCTGTCCTACTCATTGAGCTTATGTATAAAATAAAAAGTGATATCTCCGTAGTCATTAGATATTACACCATCAAATCTGGTATCAGACCTGAGTCTTGAACTGTAATTTGCACATTGGTTTTTTTCTTGTCTAATTTACCGAAAAACATCAAACTAGAGAAAAAGAAACTATCCCCCAGTTCTTCAAATCCATGTATATTATTTAAAAAAAATTATGTTCTTATTCATTTACATAACACTTCAACATTGGTTTATTAAATGTTTATATCACTGAAGTTACTCTCCTGCAGCTCCCTTGAACTTTTTCTTCTTTTCTACAACCTTTTTTTCATCATGCAATCTTCTTTTCTTCCTTAGCAACCATATTTCTTTAGCTCTATCCTTTTTGCCCTGCATCATGCTGTTATATAATTTTTTGTGTTTCTTCTTTACCATCTTCTCCCTCAAACGGTATTCCTGTCGTTCTTGTCTATTTTTCTCCCAAGGAACCTCTTTATACACTTCGCCAATACTGACGGACATTTTTGATTTCTGAAAATTTAATAAATATTTTTATTCGCATTTTTAATAAGCAAATTCCAAGTATCCATAACATTAAATATCCGTAATTTCCAACTGATATTATGGATTATGGACATATATTTTATATTCCAGATTATAAATGAATGTTTTATGGGGGTTTTTATTTCAATTTGAAATCAAGAATTTCTCTGGAACTATTGATAGTATGATAAAATGAGTTGTTTTATTATTTTATTCAGTTTATGTAGTTCACCATATAGCTTTGAGAGAAAAAATAAAAAGACAAATTTTCAAAGAGTACCTTTGGAGGGCTCTCAATATTTTCCTCTTGATCACTCTCACCATCTGGATCAACAGTACTCTTTTCCTCTTGATTACCACCATCACTTTCTTCTCCGTCATCTTCAACCACTTTACCATCTTCTATTAGTTCATCTCGCTTATGCTGTTGTTCCAGTTCGGATTCATCATAGAGTGCTCTGGCCTCAGGAGGTATATACTGCTGATCACGGTCTTTATCGATGAATGGAGAAAGATGAGGTGGTAAGGTTTCTCCCATGAAATATTTGTTGACAGGGAGAAGCTCTCTAGCATTTACACTGTCGAAAACCCACTGTGGTTGGATATAATACCTATTTCACAAAAAATAAATATCAGTAAGTTGTTAAAATGTTCTAGTACTCAAATTAATCATTCTTCAAAAATATTAGTTATAAATTTTGACGAGTCAATTTACCGAGTTTTTGCAGAATTGAGAAGCCACTACAAAGAATTTGAAAAATTTGATGTCTTGATAGGTCATTTGTCACATATAAATACTACAACATAAACCAAAATTTTCAATTTTATTTATACCTCAACATTCTTTGAAACCATTGTTGGTTACAAAATATATAAATACTACAACCGAACATAAACCAGTTAGTAGTTTCAACTAAATTCCATATGAAATACAGGATATATTGCAAGTCGAGTGCACGATTTTCATAATTTTACAAATAATTCCAAACTTCTCATAGAAAAAAATACTAGAGCTGGTAGGCCTTGATCAAATTATGCGGCAGGGTGACTGCCATAATAGTGGACAAAACATACAAGTTTAATTTAACCAATAACTATCATACCAATAATTATCATTCCAATAACTACCATACCAGCTGTGAAATTCATAAACTATTGACATTATGATATGAATGAACTTTTGTAGTACTCTATGGAATATACAAAACTTATTCAATCGAAATTTTGGAATAATGTAACAACTCTGAACATTTTGAGTTTTTAGTCCATCTCAAGTACCGTCGCTGAACATTTTCAATGTCAATAAAATGTTCTGAGTTGTTTCATAAAACTACATTATTTCTTGAATAATTCAAGAAATTTTAGAGATATCAGAAAAAGTTTCAGAATTTTTGTTAAAACTTTTACAAAAGTGGCTCTTTAGAAAAATTCAATATCTTCAGTAGTTTTAAAATGAAATTTTACTTTTCTTGTAATTGTCAATTTTTCCTGTATTATTGAAGTTACAGAAAAGTTGTAATCAGCGGATCTCAGTACATAGCTGAGAGGAACAAAAAATTTCACATCAATATCATTTCCAGAAAACTTGGAAGTTCTACAGCAAAAACTGCATATCATGCCTTGATAAGACTCACACTTGAGGTATGGTACATCTAGATTGCTCATTAAATGAAATCCCACATGTGATTGAAAGGATTCATATCTGGCGAATTTGCTGAGCACGGTAATCTTTGAATATTCTGAATCTCTGGGGCATTTTGAACTATTCTCGTGTGATAGGGCCAAGAATTGTTATACATGAAAATAAAATTGGTTCCAATTTCATTTTGGATAGAATAAATAATGGATTCAATAATGTTTCCAACATATCTATCTCCTGTCATAATATCTGGAATGGAAATAACTTGCGCATATGACAACCATGCATGCCTTCCCAAAACATTACTGATCTTCCTTGCAATAGTTACCCTAGGACACCCAGTTCCATATCTCCAGTCATCGCTGTTAGTTTTCTGGTGCAAATGTACTATTCAGATAATTGAAACTCGAAGAATCCTTAGTCTATGCAAGAATTAATGATTTGGCAGAGCGTCATCATGCAATGCCACTTTTCTTGCTTTATGAAACACTGAAGTTCTATTGCCAGGCGTGATTGCAAATAAGAACTCAACAATCACTTAAACACACTGAAGTGTAAATTGATGGATGTAGCAGTTAATACGTGGTAGATCATCATAAAAAATTATGTTCTTATAGGACGCGAAACTGCAGTAACGTTAGTTACAAATACAAGTAGTAAAAAACATAGAAAGTTTTATTTCTCATTTTTCGTGTTAAATCATTATGAACCTCTTTTTGTATCTGAAATTAAGGGAAATTGTTTTTTGTAAAAATGTTTGGACGCCTAACACCGGTGAAAGAAATAAAAATTAAACGTACAAAAACAGCCATGATGAATATTTATACTATTTGGATAAAGAGCAACCGAAATTACCTTGAAATGAATTGTTTTTCCATTGAGGGTCTATCAACAATATGATGTGTGATGGACTCGTCGTTTTCATCAAAAGTAGATCCCACAAACAGGGTTTTGTCCCAGGACACCTCTCCTCCAAAACATCTGATAATAAATACAAGAGGTTCACGTGGTACCTCTCTATTCAAGAAAAACTTCATTCCTTTGAAAAGAGTTTTTAATTGTTTGATTTTCTCGGATTCCCTCTTGGCTTCTTCCAACTTTTCAGCATCACCTTCACTGATATCAAAACTATCTATTTCAAGATTGTCTTCTATAGATTCATTACTTGATTTTGATAGTGGCAAATTAAGTGCAGCAACTCTTTCAGCAATAAAAACATCTTCGTCCACTAATAACTTTTCACTATCTGCCTGAGATAAAGCAGAAAAGCTAGGAGGATAAAATAAATTCAAACTATTATAAATTCGAAAATTGACAAATCCCAGCATTACAGTGTAGAACTCTACGAAAGTTGACATTATTTTGAAGTCAACATCAGCTTTACTTTGGGGAGTGAATGAGAAATTATGTGGTACTATCCAGGTAATGTTTTGACCTTTGATTTCTGCCTGAAAATAATACCCTTTTATTGAAATGAATACTTTTCGGAGTGCTTTGGCTTCTATAACTGCATGTAGGAATTCCAAAGTTAATCTTCTGCATAAAGCAGATTGATCCCTAGGAACGTGTGCTAGTGATGGAAACGTACTAAAAAGAAAGCATAATGTAAGGCAATCGTCTAAATCCCTCAGAGCATCTATAAACGTTGGGTATCGCTCTTTTACAATATGATCCAATTTGAGTGTAGGGTGATTGTTCAAATATCTATTGAGCTTTTCAAAATCTTTAACTGCTCTAGCGCGACCTACTTTCTTATTAAATATTTTATAATCTCTAAGCCTCCATATTATTGGTTCATGAAGTAAAAATTGTATGTCTTTCACATGATAAAGGGTTTTAATTCCTGTATTTCCTTTTTGTGCTCGTTTTCTATTCCTTGGTTCCCTTGGGTATATACCTTTAACTATACACAACTTCCGGAAATCATTTAGAGATAGCTGTAATTTTTTCAGAGCTGCTTTTCTTGTCATGAATTGGGCTGCTTCACCAGTTGTATACTGAAACCATTATCGATCCATGTAATATAATTTACGTATATAAATTAACACAATCTTACCTTCTTTTTGCGTTTTGAAACCATTTTATTGCGGCAATTATTTCAAACTTGAGATGAAAATAAACACGTGTACATATACTAGAAGAACTGGTTATTTATGGTTATGTTTAGGTAAAAGGTAAGATTAGGTTTGAAATTTCTTGTAATGTCAATGTCACGTTCTATGGACACAGAACATCGAGTACTCGAACAAAAAATGGGTTTTCTTGGCACTATCTTCATATATTAAGTCATTCCCTCCAAAATCGCACGATATTTGGGCCGACAGCGTTTCCACGTTCAACATACACCTTGATGTATGTTGGTAGTCAATACTTTCTCAATCTTTTTTTTTTTTGGGAAAGAAATATCTCAATATCATTTTTATTAATTGATCATAACGGATAAGAACTTTATTTGGAATCCATATTTTTCAGTTGGCTCCCCTGTGTATTTGTCATTAGCGTCAGATGTCAAGTTGATTATGTATAAGGTAGCCTCAAACAGGGCTGCCAGAACTAGTGTTTTCGTACTAGATCTAGTGATTTCGGCCAATGTTCAGTACGTTAGTGTTACATTCAATATATCTAGTACACTTTTGCAAAAAATTTATATTTTGTACAATTTTTAGTACAAATGAGAAGCTCTTGTCAAAATCGTCAATTGTCACTGTCAGTGTCAATTGCCATATTTGAATTGTAAACAAATGTAAACCGTGAGATTGCATGGTGAACTGTCGAGCTGCGAAGATCGAATCAGGTGTGCAATTTCTTTTTCTATTTCCTTTGTACTTATTTCTTTATTCTAGTGGGTTATTTGAGTTTTAATACTTTGATTTATCGTTGGGAAGTACATATAACTGCGAATTAAATAATTAGTTGTAGTTTTTCTACCTTTTTTTTTACCATAAAAAAAAAAGGAGAAAGGTGCTGAAGTGCTGTAGACATGTTAGGGGGAGAGGGGGAAGAGTCATCTTCCCCCATAAAACGAATTCATATTGATAATGAAGGAAGCCATAACAGGGATAGTGTTGATGAAGAGGTATGGAAAATAATGAGTCAGGCAGATCGCCAGTCGCTATCAAGAACCTTCAACTCTGAAAGCAATGAATTAGTCAATTTTACACAAACACATGATATTGAAATAGAAGACAATCCTACAGGTGCTTCTTCGCAACCGGNTTAGTATTTATATCTGTATGTATTTCAGAAGATATTTTTATTGTAATAAATGTGTATATTTATTTTTTTATTTATATAGGTCTACAGTAACAATGTGAAGTTTTGTCCCTTTGTTTCTATAAATAAATCATTACTTTAAAATTCCCGTCATTTATTTAAAGTTCCCGCCATTCATTTAGTACTTTTTGTGTTCGAAGTTGGTGCTATTTAGTCCGTTTTGGTACATATTGATATTTACTCTTTCTAGTACATTTTCTCCGGATTTAGTACTTTTTGTTTCATGATTTAGTACATTATTACATTTTCATTCTGGCAGATCTGGCCTAAAATTGAATATAAAAAACTATATGAGAAATGAATACAATAAAAACGGCTTCCAAACAGTAAATACAACTCAAAAATGGGCAATACAAACATCAACTATATAAAACAACTGACCAATGATAAATACACAGAGGAGCCAACCTACAACTAGATATAGAAAACCAACTCAAAATACTCATCCTATATGGTTGCTTGTCAAAAATATACATTCACACATAGTGAACCTTAGTGAATATAAGGACGTATTTGATAGTTTCCTTTCGAGATGACGAATTGAAAAAACTAGCACTTTAATTTCTTCTCCTTATTCATTAAATAACGTACTATAAAAACTCAGTACATCAGTCATGGTGTATTTCAGGTCCATGAGCCCCATAGGCATTAAATAATGTAGTTTTACTATGAATATCTAGTGAGCACTTGATTAGCACTTTAATTTGATTGTCTATGTATTAGTTTACGAGTATCTCAAGACTTTATTGCATATTGTTAATTTTTTTTCTCAAATCAGGTATCTTGATTTTTTTTTTGCTCATTCGCGGTCGTTTTCATCTTAATTTCTTGCAAGCACCTAATTAGCACTTTATTACTACGCTTAGTTTATACCTGATAGAGCATTCGTCCTCGTTTTCGAGAGACCTGATTCTTAGATCTGTTGTTTAGCATATATAACATGTCACATAATGCTAGCAACGCAACTTTGAGTATTGAGTTGCGGTGTAAGTTACAGAGCACCTAATTTCTGACTTCGGTACCTAAAAAGCACCTAAAAAGAACCTAATTTTGGCATTTTCTGAATGCGATTTCCGTACTTTGCGTGTCTGGCGTAACAGAGCTACTGATGGGCACTTCAGCAAGATTGACATCTGACCTTCTTTGTTCGAAAGTCAGCCTCTAGGTGCTTTCACTTTCTGATGTGTTAAATTGTATTATCATGACTTTCCTAACTAAATTATTGTATGGGGTTCCCAAAAACTAACCGGAGACGAGTGGACAAAATGTGAATAACCAAGAAAAATACCATATGTCTTTTTAATCGCGAACGAGTGTTGGTTCTCAGTGAGTCCGAAAAAGAGAATAATTTGAACTGGTCGAGAAATTTTTATACTTACTGGAGCCGCCTGACAGAGACTCTCGGGGGGTGATCTTTGGTTCTGCTTCGTTGGTCATCCCTGTTTAGTGCGTTATGTAAGTCGTTTAGCGCTGGATTGTCGTGTGCTCGAATTCTTTCGAACGTGTCTTCTGCGTGTTTCCTCATGTATGCGTCCACGTAGTGTATGTTCAGGTCTAGATCCCGGAATATGTACCTATTTGGTATATATCTTGGAGCGTTTACGGCAGCCCTTACGCACACTGTCCGAATACGCTTGCAGCCAGTGTTTATATGAATACGCTTGCAGCCAGCGGTTAAATATCGCAATGGAACATCGTGGAATTTTCACCGAAGTTCTTTGCTGCTTCTCGAGCGGCAGGTAACATTGGATATTCCCACGCTCAGCTACGTCATGTTTGGTTTATGATTACCAGTGGCGGCCGGCGTTATTTCCTTTCGGGCATGATTTACAACAGTATCTTGAAAGTGTTGTCGAATATTCATGCCGTTGGTTAAACAGCCCCACGACCTGATTCCCTCATTCACTGTTTTTGACAAAAAACTCCATAATTTCTACCCTTTTAGGAACTTAATACACCATAGTTGATGAATTTTCAAAAACTTTGATCGCAAGTCAGAAGACCACCTAGTTATCTAACGGTTACGTAATCTATCTAAATGTAAAGCTGAAATATGAGACAGCTGGGAAAAAATCACAAGTTATGGGCGCAACCTTTTTGAGGAACTCTTCAATTATTTTCTCTGTAATGATAATTTGTTTTCGAATAAATTTTACAACTGTGTAAGACCCTAAAAATCAAGTTGTTCAACACTACCTTTCGAAAATATTGGGTCTTTTATTACGCGCTATCTATCTTTAAATTTAAATAAAACAACGTGTGTGTGAGTTATCATCGAATTTTTTTATCCATTTGAAAAACCTATTACGTATGGAATATAACATCTTTCAAATGCCTTCCACGGTTTCTCTGGATGGAGCGCATCAGAAACATCCAATTGTCCATGACTCTGGCGCATAAATCACTCTGAATTTGACAGATAGCATGGGTTATGTTGGCTTTGAAGACCATTGTGGTTTTTGGCTTATTCGCATATACCTGCGACTCAAGAAAACCCCTCAAAGAAAAGTCTAACGGGTTCAAATCGCACGATCTCGGTGGCCAGTTAACATCACCTCCACGTGAGATGGCCATGCATTCAAATCGCTCGTACAGAATATCCAATGTAGCAAGAGTTGTGTGTGGCACAAAGCGCCGTCCTGTCGAAACCAGGTACATGTCGTTGGTGTCCAGATCATCCAATGAGTTGGTAATCATCGACCGTTAACAGTGATGGTCTGGCCAATGTCGTTCTCAAAGACCAAATAGTTACTTTTTCGTAATGTATTATACGCTCTTGGATCTCATGTGTATTGGTATCGTTCCAAATACAATAATTTTGTTTGTTCAACGTACCCATTCATCCAGAAATGGGCCTCATCGCTGAAGTTGATTTTTCGATGAAAATTAGGGTCAGTCACCAATTCTGAATGGGCTCCAGAGCCCATTCAGCTAACACACGTCGGTGTCTCTGATCGTTTACCTTCAGTCCCTGAGTCAGTTGATTTTGTACGGGTGCAGACCCAAGTCACGACGCAAATTTCGCCAAGTTGTGGTCTGCGAAAGGCTGAGTTCTTGTGAGCGACGCGAAATCGACTGCCTCGGATTCTCTTGCACACTCTCACAGATAGCGGTGATGTTTTCAGCAAATCTTGGGTTTCATCGACGTACGGGTTTTAGTCGATAGTTTACTGATCCAGTGGACTCAAATTTATCCACCACATTACGAATAGTCCTCTCGGTAGGACGATTATGGCGAACGTGGAATGGACGAAGCGCGCGGCACGTTGCCTGAACACCCATTTTGATAAAACAATAAAAATAAATGACAAATAATTTAACAGATGTAGCTTCAACAAGATGGCCGTTAAAAATTGTCAAAGACCCTATATATAGTTATTTTTTATGTGATTACTGAACACACAATCAGTAAGACATTGAGGTAATGTACTCTGATATGACTTCACCTGTAAACTTATACGTAACATCAGAGTTGAACAAAGCATCAAATTTATGTATACAGTATGTGAAAACTTTAAATTGAATAAATGAAATAAACTCCAACATACCCTGTATATCTTATATCAAAATGTACCTTATCAGCATATCAAAAAAAATGAACGTTGAAGTACACTTTCATATATCAATTGTTATTTTATCCAATTGATTATAGAATTAAAAACGGAAAGTTCGAGGTTTATCATTAAAACTTTTCATTATTTCAACATTAGTCTGTTTTAATAATAAAATAGGATATTATTACCTATTAAACCATAACGAATTCCTATTCGCCTACAATTTAGCAACCGTACCGTTTCCTCCACTTGACAAATATAAGTTATCTGTTTGAATAACTTTTGTGTAATTGTACAGCGGTACTTCGCGGCACCAGTCCTCACATTTCTATTTTCATTACAGTTTTCGACGAAATAAATGCAAAATAATCCCAATTGACTGCTTCGGTGAACATTGCAAAAAAGCGGATATCCAATTTATAATAAGATTATTTCTGGTTTCGACATCGGAATAACAAAATGTTTTTTGGTTCTTTGTGCGTCATGTTGGTGTTAACAGCTGTGGAAGGGTAAGTAGGTATACCTTCAAAATATTTACAAAATTTCTCTAGCTTTCTGGTAATCTCTAAAAACGTACGATTTCATAATCATTAAGTTTGCCCTAATGAGTGAAACAATCATTCCATTTGTCAAGTGATATCCGATTTGCTTTTTTTTAAATAACACTTGCTAAAATGATTAAAGACAACCATGTTTCTATTCAAAATAAGTAATCTACAGTTTTTATGAGAATCTACAAATATAGGGGTGTTTCTTTCTTTATACTTTTACAAGACATCTACTTAGGTTAAACTAAAATATTTGTTATGAGCGTTTGGGGGGTAGTTTGAAACAATCTGCCATTTGTTGATGATATGATCATATATTAAATCAAATTGGTAGAATATTAACAAAACTACTTTCAAAATCAAAGACCAAAAAACCTTTTTTTTTTAGTTTTCGCAGTCAAAAAATAGCGACTTATTGAAAATAAACACTATAGAGAACAGATAAAAAAAGGACGATTGTTTCAAGTGCACTTTTTCAGAAATGTTGATTGATGAAATTGAAAAAAAATTGATACCAAGGGAATTTTACAACACAAAATAAGTTCCGTGAAGGAAAACCATTTTTTGAACATTATTTGAATTTGATAGGTTATTATAATTGAACATATTCAATATAATAACAACACTTCCAAAATACAAATCATTAAATTATAAAACAAAGAAACTAAAGTTTCAACCAAGTCTTGGACGCCAATCTCAATTTTCATTTTATTTCCCGTCTAACTATACAGTGCTTTTCTTAAATGTCCCCACCCCTTTTATTTTTTGAACGGGTAAACTCGAAAAATTTAAATTTGGGATAATGAAATTAATGCATGAATACTTTATTTTGAAGTAAAATTGACAGATGAAACTTTCAAGATGGCGACTGAGCGCCATCTGAGAAAAAAAAATTGAATGAAAGGGGGGTCGTGTGACACATCATTTTGAAGCTCCTGACGAATACTTCACAGCCCTAGAATATGAAGTAAATATCTTCACCTACTACAAAATGGCGGAACATTTAATAATTTCCTGAAGACAAACACATTAATACCTATCGATACTCGTATTACTAGAAATATCCCTTTTTATCTGTCATATGGCAATTCCAACAATCCGATAAGGTTTGTTAAGTTTATAAAAACGATAAAAAATATCAGTACGATAATGAACATCATTGTTCAGTTAGAATATTCTCATTTAGTTTTTACTAGTAGAAAGGTACCACGTCAACAATCTCTAAAATGATCGATTCTCATCCATTGGTAGAAAAAATTGAAGCGATTTTTATTTACGGTGCGATGCGTAACTCACACGAGATCGAAAGGATTTTCAATGAACGTTTTCCGAATCGTCCTATCTTTAGAAAATATTTGAGGGAACTTGTAACCAAATTCACAACTACCGGTATTGTATATAACATAAAAACCCCAGGTCATCCGTCCATTCCGGAAGAACAGCAAGTGCTAATAATTGGTGAGAGGGTAGTAAATCCTGAACAGTATACTTATTCCATCGCGAATGTGTGTGAGGTGTCTCCTTCTACTGTGTGAAGACTTTTGAAGAGTAATAGGTATCATCCATACAAAATTAAAATGAAGTTTAACTGAATTAACTGAAGATGGTCCTGATCGAAGAACAGAATTCTGCGAAATCATGAAGGAAACCATTGCAAGGCATCCTACCTATCTCCACAATATTCGTTTTAGTGACGAATGTACATTTTTTTTAAACGGCAACCCTCACGTTATCCGGGAAACACATACCCAATATCCAGAAAAAATTAACGTTTGGATATGCTGAAAACTACTGTTGACCCTGAAATCGTCGAAGCGAATCCTAATGAATTCGATATGGATATTGTATTCCAACAAGATGGAGCAGCACTACATTACTCCAGACAAGTAAGACACTATTTGCATACTACTTTTTTCTGGTCGTTGGATTGGCCACAGAGGTCCTACAGAATGGCCAGCCCGCTCTCCAGATTTGACACCTCTGGACTTTTTTTTGTTGGGCTATTTGAAGCAAAAGGTGTACAAAACTGCTTCAATATTGGATATACGTCAGAGAATAATAAATATTTGTAGAGACATTGACGTTACTGTGTTCGAAAATGTTCAGCGTGGAATATCGGATAGACTGTTCATATGACAAGAAGTTCAAGGCATTTCGAGCATCTTCTGAACAGACCTCAAGGTTATTATCTCATATTATGTAGTTAAACGTTAATGTATTCAGGCAATTATTAAAAGTTCCGACATTTTGTAGTAGCTAAAGATATTGACATTATATCCTAGGGTTGTGAAGCATTTGTCAGGAGCTTCAAAAGGATGTGTCACAAGACACATCCATTTTTTTTCCCAGATGGCGCCCATTCGCCATCTTGAAAGTTTCATCTGTCAATTTCACTTCAAACATAATATGAATCCACCAAGTAACTTAAAACGGAAAAAGAATTAGAATAAAATATGATGGTGTCATATTTTCCATCACATCCTCATACTAGTCGTGACTTCATATATTGGGTTGATTCAAAAGTTTTGTTCATTTCATGAGTCTAGTTAACTGTAATATCTTAATGAATACTTATTCAACGTAACACCGGTAGGTAAATTAATTCCGTCAGCATGAAAATTGGGTGCTGGGTATTTGACGAAAGCCGTTGTTGGCTGATTGGCAAGAGGTCTGGGATGTATGGTGGGTGAGGCAGAATCTCGACGCTGAATTCATTTTATTTTCAGAAGGTGATTTGTGAAACGTGCGGACGGGCGTTTTTGTGGAGCAGGATCGGACCTCTTCTGTGGAGCAGTGAAGGCTGCTGCTAGCGAAATGTTCGGTTCACTAGCCGCTAACCACTACAGAGTAACCATGGTCTTTTACGGTGGGTTGTCACCTTCGGAAAGTTCCTGTGTAGCTTATCGGTGTCCAACCACTGTCCTGAACATCTCCGGTTGTCGTAGAAGGTCCACTTTTCATCACACGTAACGATCCGACCCAAAAAGGGTCGTTTCGGTTGCGCAAAAGCAAAGAAGAACAAACCACGAAACGTGACAATTACTGTCGATCGTTCAAATCGTGGGATAGCCACTTGTCGACCTTTCCAATAATTTTTACCCTTCAAAAACCACATGGTACCTGATTCCCAGTTTTTCCGCCATTCCACGCACCGTTTGTGATGGGTCAGTCTCCATCAGGGTTATCAAATTCTCGTCCTGGACCACTGTAGGTCGACCACTTCGAGTGCATCTTCGAGGCTAAAATCTCCGGAACGAAGTTTCGTAAACCAACGTCGAACAATGCGTTCATTAACACTTTCATTGTCAAATACCTGGTTGATTTTTCGGGCTGTTCCGGCAGTACTTTGGTTTAATTTGAATTAGTAAAGAAAAATTGGCCGAAAATCGTTAACGATGTCTTATAAGTGATACGCTGAAAAGAGACAAAAAATTAAAGTTGGAAAAAATGCAATGCATCAATGTACAGTGCATTTCTTTAATGCCCCCTCTTTTATTTATTGAACGGGTCAACTCAAAAATTGAAATTTGGGATAATGAAATGAATGCATGAATACTTTATTTTGAAGTGAAATTGACAGATAAAAATTTCAAGATGACGACTGGATGCTATCTGGGAAAAAAAAACTGAATAAAAGGGGGGTCTTGTGACACATATTTTTGAAGCTCCTGACAAATGCTTCACAACCCTAGAATATAATGTCAATATCTTCAACTACTACAAAATGGCGAAACTTTTAATAATTGCCTGAATATATTGACATTTGACTACATAATATGAGGTAATAAGCTTGAGGTTAGTTCAGAAGATGATCGAAATGGTTGCCTTGAACTTCTTGACATATGAACAGCCTATCCGATATTTCACGCCGAACATTTTTGAACACAGTAACGTCAGAATCTCTACAAATATTTATTATTCTCTGCCATATATCCAATATTGAAGCAGGTTCAGTTTCGTTCACCTTTTGCTTCAAATAGACCCATAAAAAAAGTCCAAAGGTTTCAAATCTGGCGGGCGGGCTGGTCATTATGTAGGACCTCGACGGCCAATCCAACGACCGGGAAAAATAGTGTCCAAATACTTATCTGGAGTAATGTGGTGGTGCTCCATCTTGTTGGAATACAATATCCATATCGAATTCATTAAGATTTGCTTCGAAGATTTCAGTGATGAGAGGATCAACAGTAGTTTCCAGCATAGTCAAATAGAGTTCCCCTGTTAAATTTTGATCAATAAATAGAGGTGCTACAATATGGTTACCCAATATTCCTGCCCAAACGTTAATTTTTTCTGGATATCTGGCAAGTGTTTCCCGGAAAACGTGAGGGTTAGTGTCACTCCAATAACGGCAATTTTGTCTGTGAACATTGCCGTTTGAAAAAAATGTACATTCGTCTCTAAAACAAGTATTGTGGAGATAGGTAGGATGCCTTGCAATGGTTTCCGTCATGATTTCGCAGAATTCTGTTCTTCGATCAGTCATAATATAGGATTGTATGATTTGAGAAAGTTCCCAATAGAATTTTGTTCAGGACACAAAAAAGAGCGAGAGAGATTACGTGGCTGTGGTTCTCACCTGAGTGTATGTCGGCTCTAGTAGCGGCTTGTAGAAAGACTTCTGGTTCCAGGAGGATGATCGTAATAACCCGTTGGATCACACAACACTAGCTAGCCAGCAACTTTCTTAATTCATTGAGTAGGTTGTCGAATCACCTGAGATGATTTCTGTAGCGAGTCTATATATCGATCCCTGTTGTTCTGTTGCTGTTTCAGCGACCGACCAAATATATTGATACGAGGAGCGCTCCATATATTTAATCAGAATAGGAAACACAGCCGAATTTCGCGTTGAATACAAATTTTGCAAATTGAGTAAAAATCATCAATAGACAAATGCACAAAGAGAAAAACGAAAATAAAAAATAAAATAAAAGAAAACTGTTGAAGACGGAACAAAC